CCGAGATAAGAACTCATCATGTTCTTGTTTTCCACAGGATGTGAAGGCGCAGCGTAGCATCCCTCTGATTGGCTTTGAGGTCTCTCAGCCTGAGTCATGTGATCGCCTGGAACGGCGACACGCCTTCAAGATTTCCCAGAGTCACCTGACTCTTTACTTCAGCGCAGAGGGGGAGGAGCTACAGCGCAGATGGATGGACGTCCTATCGAGAGCCGGCAGAGGGGAGGAGCCTTTGATCCATCAGCCAATCGTGGAGAGCGTGGAGGAAGAAGGGGAGGAGCTTAGTGCTGAGGTGGAAGGAGAGAACACTTGATTTTACTGGAGCTAAAACGTTGAAGTTGATGATGATGACGCATCATGAAAGTCTGTCCTGATTGGAAAGCAGAATACGATAACTAGATCCTGAAAGAGTTTACAATTTACCCAAAACCAAACCGCAAAGCAAACCTAGAACCACAAGTCAATCTGAGCTCACAACAGTTAAGATCTAAACTAATCCAGGAACAAACCAGGACAGCTAGAAGAAATCTAGAACTAATTCACGTATCATCCAAATCACAACCGATCTGAGACGCACCGGCTTCAAAAAGCAAAGATAGAGAAATAATCATCAGGAAAAGGAAAACTAAACCTGGACAGGAAAATTTGAAACCTCTTGAGGACAAAGTCCAGAAACAACCTAAACAGCTGGAATCAACGCAGGTCCAGAATCAATCCAAAGCTTTTCTGGACAACCAGAGGAATGTGGACTTGAGGAGGAAGCTGAGACTCTTGCAAGAGAATCTTCAAATTCGTTTAACGTCCGGAGATGAAGAGAAAGAGCTCTGACTGGGCAAAGCTCAACATTTATCCAGCAATTCCCTAAACACACACATTCTTGTAGTGGGAACTATCCCACCACTACTCAAAGAGCTTTCTCAAATACCAACATTTGGTTATTCCCAAGAAAAAAACACTTCCATTCATCAAGAAGATACATTTTAGCCAGATAAACTCAGAACTGGTCTCCTGTTCACGGCATGAAGGACGCTGATTGAACTCATCCTTATCTCTCATGACCTTTCCTTCATCCTTGTCTAGAGTCGGGAGGCAACTGCTTTCTGTCATCCCCACGCTTAACTCCATAACTTAACTCCAGCATACAGATTGGTACAAGACCTCTAAGCAATCACCCATATTTAGTCTCGCAAACAGGCCAAGGAAAAATATGCTTCCACAGGAACCACAACGGATCTAGAACATTTATCCAAATCTTACAAAAACGAGTAAAGATCTTATTCAGAGCAACAACAACACACATTAAAACTATGAAGAATTAAGGCAGAAGAGTCACAGGAACCAAAACCGATCCAGACCAGACCTTTGGCAAAGGTCAGAACATTTCCCAAATCAGCCTGTGAGGTTCTGCTGCTCTCTGGGTTCGACCTCCAGACGGAACCAACCTTTCTGTTCGGATTCGCGAGTTTAAAGCTACGATCCATTCCTCGTCAGAGGAGCTAGGTCTTCCTTCTGAAGGTTTCTGATGTGATTGTGGCGCCGTCTGCGGGGACAACCCATCTCATATCGCTGCTGGACAGGAGCAGGACCGGATCATCCATTGCCGTCCAGCGCAGGATTTTTTCAGCCAACAAAAGAATCCAATCCTTTATCAGGATGTTAATACAGATACCAAACAAGTGATGAACGTTTCGGTCCCACAGCAATCATCTCAGAAACTTCATAAACCACAGCAGGTTTCGGACCCTCACAGAACTTCCTGTGGTGGACAGAATTTCATTTCAAAACATCAAGTCCAACATGACGGCAAACAGCACAAACTAAGCGCCAGAGGTTCTGTTCTGGAGGCCTTCTCCAACATTCCTGCAGGTCTGGTCCAACATCTGGTTCTTAAAAAGAAATGTGTATAAAAACCAGAACCCAAACAGAACTATTACCCGTTCAACCAATGCTGAGAAAGTGTGAGCAGGTCAAGCACATACAGAACCGACTGGTCCCCTCAGAACCCCAGAAGGTTCTGCAGAACTTGACACAGTATGGAACATTTAAAACATCCTGAGAAAGACTTTCTTAGATTTATTACATTTATTGAAAAGAAACAGTTTGATCTCAAACTACGTTTCCCAGCTTCCTTTACGCCCCACGTGGTTTGCTGCCCTCTACTGGTGAGTTTGGGTACAGCTGGGTTTTATTACTGTGTTATCTGTATGGATATATATTTATTTTTATTTTCTGCAGGTCTTTGATTAACTTCCTTTACTTCTGATTCAACAGATTTAACAAGAAATTTAAGACTGTTTAAATATTGGATGTTGGAGGCATGAGCAGAAGGAAGTTAATTAAAAATTCAGTATCTGAGCTTTTAAATGTGAGTTTTATGAATTAGAGAAAATCTATAAAAATGTTTAAAAAATTCAAATCTTCGATGTAATTCCGTAAAAACTTTGGTTTTATTTAGCGCTTACTGATCGCAGCTGCTGGTGATGATGTCATCTCCCGCTGCTTTAAGCCAGCATTAGGGAGCAGCTGATTGGCCGGAGCACGGACCAATCAGGGCTGGGGTTGGCTGGACACTTCCTGATGTTTACTGCCAGAAGAAAAAATCACAGAACTGAAGATGGAGGAGGAAAAAGGACACAGATGAAGATGATGATGATGAGTTTTAGACCAAGTCCCTGACGGTTCGGGAGAACCCCCGGAAGTGGACTTTGGTGTGTTTGGACGATACTGCTCCAGTATCTCTTCTCTTGTTTGGCAGAAAGCGTTTAAAAAAAAAATTTAAATATTCTTATTGTTGTTCAAACTTTGAAGAAATGCAGATGGTTTGGTTCTCTTAAAGGTACCCTCAGCGGGTTCTCCCTTTGGGTTCTCTTAAAGGTTATCCTCAGCGGGTTCTCTCTTTGGGTTCTCTTAAAGGTTACCCTCAGCGGGTTCTCTCTTTGGGTTCTCTTAAAGGTTACCCTCAGCGGGTTCTCTCTTTGGGTTAACTTAAAGGTT